CGGCGCGGCTACCCGCGGCACGGGCTAGATAGTTCGAACTAGCTAGCCATTCCGAACTATCTGTACACCTCATTCCACGAGACGTACAGATAGTTCGGAGTAGCTAGCTAGTTCGAACTATCTAGCCCATGCCGCGTGTAGCCGCGCGGCACGGGGTTCGAACAAGCCGGCATTTAAAAATGGCGCCGGCCGGCTTATGCAAATAAAGCCTGGGAAATTCAAATCCCGGGCTTCATTTGCACGTTCGGTATGCATACATTACCCCGCTAGTTCACACTAGCGGGGTAGTGTAGACATACCCACAGAGACATATAGCTGGTAAAAGCCACCGTGTCCAGTAGTCTGGGCAAAGAACAGCTCCCATTTGGAAAAAGTTGCTTTCTGCTTGCCTGACCTAGTGGTGCCAATTCTCAGAGGGACTGAATGTGTCTTAATATAGAATGAAGGGGGCTTTGCACCTACTAGGAGCTCCAAGCTCCTCAGAGGCCCAGGCCACTGGATGGCTACAGGGACAACAAACTTTTGATACAAAAAGTTAAGAGCCAAAAGACTTAGGCTAACTTTCAAGTAAAGTGCCATTGATAGCCAATTTCACTTTAAGGGTATGTCTACACTAGGGCTGGTCAATAATTTTTGGAGGGAGGGGCCACTGAATGAATTTTGGTACATGGTCATGGGGTGGCACCATTCCTGGAAGAAGCTGGGGCCTGGGCAAAAGGGGCAGGGCTGGGGACTAGCCTCCCCCCAGAGTTGTCTGGGGCTGGAGGCTTTGAATTAAAAATACAGCAAAGAGCTCCTCCTCCCTCCTTTCTCTCCCCCCCCCCTCCTCCCCGCTACCATGTTGCTTGGTATCTACCTGGGGTTGCTGTAGCTATTTAAAGGGCTTGCGGCTCCAGCCCCTGCTTCCTGAGCCACCACCTGGAAATTGAATAGCCCCGGCTGCAGGGTATAAATAGAAAGCAGTCAGATGCCGTCCACTGGTTGGATCAAAGTGTTAGGTGGTCTGGATCCAGCCCTGGGCTGCATCTTGCCCAGGCCTGATCTACACTCTAATTAGAAAGTGAGATTGTCCCTTGCGTAGAATTATCCAAGCTAGCTTTGATCTAGCTAGATCAAAAGTAGTTTGAATAACAATAGTGGTGCAGCTGCAAAAGCATAAGCTAGCTGATTAAATATATACTTAAAATCCTGAGTAGGATTGTATTCAAGAGCCTAGCCCATGCCATGATCCATGCTACTCCAGCTACACTGCTATTGATACTTGAGCTATCTTTGATCTAGGCAGATCAAAATTACCTGCTGTCTCACCTCCTCATTGCAATGTGGACATACCCTGAGTGTAAAAAGCAGTGTTCAAAAGGAAAGGCAAAGGCAGGGTTAGAATTTGACTGAGTAGGATTGTATTCAAGAGCCTAGCCCATGCCATGATCCATGCTACTCCAGCTACACTGCTATTGATACTTGAGCTATCTTTGATCTAGGCAGATCAAAATTACCTGCTGTCTCACCTCCTCATTGCAATGTGGACATACCCTGAGTGTAAAAAGCAGTGTTCAAAAGGAAAGGCAAAGGCAGGGTTAGAATTTGA